GAAGGTTGCCTGAAGCTTCAAAAGGAAGAGAATATGTGTCAGGTGAAAATGTTTATACTCACATTCAGTCACATGTAACTGTTTACCTTTTTAGGGGATGTATATTTATGTTGATGGTGATGCTAGTCTTGATTGCAGAATAATGGATTTTTGCTAAAATAGTCCTTCTGCCTTATGTGATCTCAAAAATACTGTTCTTAGGGTAAATTGCTGGAGTATTTGAAAGTAGCTGCTCAAAAAGTTATAGAGCTAAATCAGAGAAAAATTTCAATACTCAATTACTCATGATGACTGAATATACTGTTCCCAAGTTAATATCTACACATCGGTTTATTTTTTGCTATTGCAGAATATAGTAATGATGGTGAAATTGAGAAACTACGGGCTTCTGTTGATTTTCTAGTGGAGACATGCCATGCTCTTTCTCAAGCCAGAGTTTGTTGTTCATCTCAGGTTACATGATCTTTTGTGATATCTAAATTTGTAACAATGCATTCTGTTTTTATGTTTTAGTTCTTTCATCATTGTTTTTTGCAGCTGGATGAGTGTAAATTCAAAAACTGGTCTCACCAAGCTGTAGACTTTATTCTTGGTATTACACATTCATTTGATATATATGCACCAATAAATATATTAGGAAGACTCACTACAACAATACTTAAACTGACTTTTTCGTTGTGCAGTGTCGAGTGATAACTATTTATACTGTTCTCAACCCATACATTGTTTTGTGTACGAAATTACCAATATGAAAATAAATGAAGTGATATTTAGTGCTTCTCTCACTGGTTGAGATCTTCATGGAATGACATGTTACTGCTAAGGGGCAAATGGAGAAGAACAAAATATTTCACTATAAGATTTTGGGTATTATGCAACTCATTAAGGGATTGCTTCCACTTTCTAATTGTACTTTTTTTCTCATGGCTATCTTTACTCATTAAGGGATTGCTTCCACTTTCTAATTGTACTTTTTCCACTCATGGGTAGCTTTACTAAGTACTCCCTCCGTCCCTAAATGTTTGTCACACTTTGACTTCACAAGTTTTAAGGAGATGAATTTGACTTTACACTGTAGCGACACTATTTCACACTGTAGCGACACTATTTCACACTGTAGCGACACTGTTTGGCACTGTTTGACACTATTTGGTATAGATTTGTTTACCAAATAAGGAAGTTTAAAAAGTATGACAAACATTTTGGGACATCCGTTTTGGGAAAGTGTGACAAACATTTAGGGACGAAGGGAGTATGTGTTTTCATTTATTTGGTTGAAGATGCGGTGAAGACCACCACATCGGCAATGGGAGTCAATTTTCATATTGAAGATGTTGTAAGTAGCTTAATTACGCGCCTCATGAAAATCATGTGCAGTGCAACAAAAGGAGATGGTAAACATTTGGTTGTGCTTTTTGTATATGTTTACACATGCCAGACATTGTTTTTTATTATATTATCTAAGACCAGAGAGACCAGGTGCAGATTTACGCCGACGAGGGTGCAATGAAATTATGCTTGCTGCGATAAATTTAGGGAAAACCCTATACTAATTTGAGGCGTGCAACTAATAGAGATCTGCGGTTGAAATTGCGACTATACCTGAGCTGCAAGTGATTGATGACCAAAATACTGAGAGTATTTTTCTGCCAGAGCCTACTCAACCTGAACAATCTCAACACCATTTTAAGCTAAAATTGGTTTGAATTGGAAAAAAATGTCTGTTTAAGTGAGTGTTGCTTTAATGTTTATATTAAACATCTGTTCGGACATATGTTGATATTAAATAAAATTTAAATACTTTTGCTGCAAAGTTCTAGCAAATAACAATGTTGCTATAGCTGCCAAGTATGATAGTGCTTTAAATCTCAACCTGTTGTTAAAATCGCATTTTTGAATCGAATCGGCAGATGTTTTTGAAAATCAAATCGTATAATCTAATCACAAATCGTAAGATTTTATGGAACATATCTTAATAATTATAAAATAAATAATTATTAATATTAAGCTCCAAGTTAATGGTATTATATCATTTCATTAGATAAAACTTTACATACAAGGTCCAAAACAAGACTTATAAACTATTTTAATAATGTGAATGTAGTGAATAATAACATTAAACATATGTAAAACATAAAATAAATTAAATAACACAAGAATCCATTACTTTTTTAAATATACTATTGGTATTATTATTGTAATTATGTATCAATTTGTAGTAGTTAATTTTAATAAATTTGAACCATTTTCACTACGATTTTAAACAATTCTACACGATTCATGTACGATTTTTTATGATTTTGTACGATTTTCACTATGATTTTATGATTTTACGATTTTACCTACGATTTGAATCGATTTATTAACGTGGAATCGTAAAACCGTACGATTTTATGATTTAAATCGAGATTTCAACAACCTTGATCTCAACACCATTTTTTGACGGTTTTTGAAAATCTATAATTTTTAATTTAATTAGAGAATGATGGAGATATTAACATGATGAGAAACATGATGGAGATACTTTCTATATTGGATCTCAACACATTTCTCCTTTAGCAATGAGGAACAATAATTTTGGAGAGAGAAACGATGGGTCTATGCTAAAAAAGAGCAAACAAAGTTTAAGCTCAACATCACTTTCAGAATCTTCTTTCAGAGATATTATGAACGGTAATGAGTTCCTTAAATTGAACGTACCCATTTATATTATTTTTTTTGTCTATGTAGTACTATATGTCTGGATATAATTTTTAATACTATTTTATTTAATCTAGAAAATATACCCGCAAGTTTTCGACGACAAAATACATCTCAGGAAAACAAGGTTTCACAGTACATGTATGTTAAATATTTGTGGAATGTTGACTCACTTGAATGTCATTTTTCTTCTCAAAATCAATTTGGTTAAGGTAATTAAGTATATTTTTATACGCACGCTCTTTTAAATTATTTTTCACGTTATGAAAGACAACAATTTGAGAATCATTAACATTAACTAAAGAGTATATTTTATGGCCGGTGAATTTGAAAAGTTGAAATTTCATATGTAGGTGATCCATCTCTCCAAGTACCTATGACAAGCAATGTTATATCCGATGTAAATATTCCAATGGCGGACCTTATAAATCTGGATGATAATGATGATGAGACAGGTTTTGGTGCTAAAAGTGTTCCAACTGGTATATTATTCATTACAAGTATACCATGGTACAAATAATGAAGTTATATTTTATTTAAAAACAAGATCTAATAAATCTCCAAATTGGTTTCATGTGTTTAGGATATTGGGATGTCGGTGATCCTTCATTTGTTTTTAACTTTTGTGGAGCCTTATTTTGGTATGATGAGAGATTAGAATCTCATTATAAGGCAAAGAATCCAAAGTATTATGGGTGTTGCATGCAAGGAAAAATTAAATTACCATTAATAAAAAGGCCACCGTCGGTGATCGAAAATCTTTTTAAAGGACAAGATGAAATGAGTAAGCATTTCTTGCAAAAAAAATCGTTCATACAATAACATGTTCTCCTTTACATCATTGGGTGGAAAGATTGATTCAGCTATGAGTGATGGAAAGTCCCCCCCCCCCCCCCCCCCCCCCCCCCCGATTTTCAAGTTGCATGGCCAAAACTTTCATTTAATGGGAAGTTTGTTACCATCCCAATATGTAGTGCCTAAATTTGCACAACTGTACATATACGATACGGAGAATGAAGTGTCCAGTAGAATTAATTCTGTTAGGTAATTAAATTTTATATTATTTTTTATGATTGTTATTCTCAATTTTATTAGTAAGTAAATATCTAATCTCAATTTTTTTATTTAGGAAAAAGGGAGAACCTCACAACTTACATGAGCGAATTGTTGAGAAATTAAAAAATGCACTTGATGAACATAATGTGCTGGTCAAATCATTTAGAATTGCTGGGAAGAAAATTCAAGATGAAGGATGTGGTGATTTTAAACTCAAATTAATAGGTAAGAGAGCAAAAGATGGAAGATCTTATAACTTGCCTTCGGTATCAGAGGTTGCGGCATTGGTGGTAGGAGATTTTGATTTGTCTTTGGGTGAAAGAGATATTTTGGTTGAGACTTGCGCCGGAGGTTTGCAACGGATTAATGAATTGAATCTGTCATATTTAGCTCTTCAGTACCCGCTTTTGTTTCCATATGGGGAGGATGGGTTTAGAGAAGACATACCTTTGTGTGGTAAAAACTCGGATCAATCACGAGGAAGACAAAATATGAGCATGAGAGAGTTTATTGCATATCGATTGCATGAAGAGAAACATAATTTTCTATTTTATTACGTGCTAAGAGATTACTTCAGCAATTTGTAGTTGATGCTTACACTTTAATTGAGTCGAGCAGGTTGAAGTATATCCGTAATCATCAGAAGATATTAAGATGTGAAATGTACAAAAGGGTTGGTTGATGCTCTATTGCGCGGTGACACGAATCCTGCGACACAAGGAAAACGTATAATCCTTCCTTCTTCATTTACAGGTGGAGCAAGATACACGGTTCAGAACTATCAGGATGCAATGGCTATCTGTAGATGGATTGGGTATCCAAATCTGTTTATAACTTTTACATGCAATTCAAAGTGGCCTGAAATAGTAAGATACATTGAAGAGCGCAATCTGAAACCAGAAGATCGCCCAGACATTATATGTTGAATTTTTAAGATGAAGTTGGATGGTTTAATAAATGATTTCCGCCGCAACAAAATATTTGGCGCGGTTAAAGCAGGTATATTATTAAGTTCAATTGTTAGTATTGATGATTACTAATTATATTTGAATTGAAATTTTTTTTATTGATGTTTATTATGCAGTCATATACACTATTGAGTTCCAAAAGCGTGGATTACCACATGCCCATATACTGTTGTTTCTTGAAAAAAGTGAGAACTTTGCGTCATCAGATCATATTGATAGCATAATTTCAGCAGAAATTTCTTGTGAGGAGAGTGATCCTGAATATTTTAACGCAGTGAAAGATTATATGATGCACGGACCGTGTGAGAGTGCAAGAAAGAATTCACCGTGCATGATAAATGATCAGTGTTCTAAACACTTTCCAAAGAGATTTGTTGAGCACACCACTTTGGATGAGGATGGATATCCAGTATATAGACGAAGAAATGATGGAAGGACAATATCCAAAAATGGAGTAGATTTGGATAATAGATATGTGGTGTCGCATAATAGATATTTATTGCTCAAGCATGCAACACATGTGAATGTTGAGTGGTGCAATCAGTATAGGTCTATCAAATATTTGTTTAAACATGTAAACAAAGGTAATGATAGAATAACTGCGACATTCTACTAAAGTGCTGGTGGAGATGATACGAATGCCAATGTTGATGAGGTAAAGATGTATTATGACTGTAGATATATTTCATCATGTGAAGCTGCTTGGAGAACTTTAGGATTTGAAATCCAATATAGAAATATTGGTGTGGAGAGGTTGAGTTTTCATTTGCCCAATGAGCAAGTTGTGTATTTTAATGATTTGGAACCGATAAACGAAGTTCTTGAGAAACCAACTGTGAAAGAAAGCACGTTCCTTGCTTGGTTTAAGGCAAATGAAATGTACCCGGAAGCACGAGACTTGACTTATGCTGAAATGCCAACCAAATTTGTCTGGAAGAAAGCTACTTGAGAATGGGTGCCAAGAAAAAAGAATTTTGTCATTAGTAGACTATATTATGTTCCACCAAATCATGGTGAGCTTTTTTATCTTAGGTGCCTTTTGAATTTTGTTCGTGGTCCAACATGCTTTGAAGATATTATGAAGGTTGATGGTGTCCAGTATAATACTTTTCGTGATGCTTGTTATACCTTGGGCCTTTTAGAAGATGAAAAAGAATATGTAGATGCAATTAAAGAAGCAAGTTTTTGGGCAACTACATATTTATTACGTAGGCTTTTTGTTGCTCTATTAGTTTGTGATTGTCTAAGTAGGCCAGAAGAGGTTTTGGAGAAGTGTTGGACTTTTTTGTCAGAAGACATCCTTCATAAACAACGTTTGATGCTTAATCATCCAGGTATATTTTCATATATTATTTAATAGTTAATACTTTAATTTATAAATCCACTCTATTGAGTAAATTTCTTTATTGTAGATCTCACATTAACGGATGTGGAAGTGAAGAACCTTGCTTTGTTTGAAATTCAAAAGATGTTACACAAGTGTGGGAGGAGTTTAGAAGAATTTGAAACCATGCGAGTTCCGGACAATAGATTCTTATCAAATAATGGTAATCGGTTGGTGTATGATGAGTTAAAATATGATCGGGTCAAGTTGGCTGAGGAGCATAAAAAATGCTTGGTAATCTAACTGCTGAACAAAGATCTGTTTATGAAACGGTAATACATGTCATTGATTCAAATAATGGTGGAGTTTTCTTCGTATATGGTGGATCTGGAAAAACATTTGTATGGAACACTCTTTCAGCTGTTATACGTTCCAAGGGAGAGATTGTATTGAACGTTGCATCGAGTGGCATTGCCTCACTTCTGTTGCCGGGTGGTAGAACTGCACATTCTCGATTCAAGATTGCAATTCATCCCAATGAAGACTCCACGTGCAATGTAAAACAAGGGAGCACACTTGCTGAACTTCTTATTAAGTGTAAACTTGTAATTTGAGATGAAGCTCCAATGGTCCACAAATATTGCTTTGAGGCTTTAGATCAGACTCTTCATGATATCTTGCGATTTAGCAATCCAAATAGTCAGCAAATGCTTTTTGGTGGAAAGACAATAGTGTTTGGTGGAGATTTTAGACAAATCCTTCCTGTCATAACCAAAGGAACAAGGCAAGATATTGTGAATGCGTCTATGAATTCTTCTTATTTGTGGCAACATACAAATGTCATGCGTCTAACAAAGAACTTGAGGCTTCTTCATTTGCCATCAAGTGATCAATTTGAATACCTCATTAAATTTTCTGAGTGGATTGCAAGCATCGGAGATGGCACTATTGGAGGACCAAATGATGGTTTTGTAGAGATAGAAATTCCTGACGAGTTCTTGATTAAAGATTTTGAAGATCCCATATCAAAGATGGTAGAATGCATCTATCAATCCCTTGCTACCGCTGATGATGATCCGAGTTATTTGGAAAAAGAGCAATTTGGCATCCACTCTTGATGTTGTGGACTCTATTAATGAATACATGCTCACGTTAAATGATTCTGAGTTGAAAACATATCTCAGTTCTGATAGCCCATGTAAATCAGATGCCAATCTTGATTTCTTAACAGATCTTCATACTCCAGAATTTTTAAATGGAATTAAAGTTTCGAGAGTTCCAAATCATAAACTGTATCTTAAAGTTGGCACACCTGTTATGCTAATGAGAAATATTGATTCTTCTCAAGGTTTGTACAATGGAACAAGGATGGTTATCACAAGATTAGGCAAGCATGTGCTGGAAGCAAAAGTTTTGACGAAAATTAGTGTAGGTGAAAAGGTATTAATACCAAGGATGTCTTTGACACCATCAGATTTGAGATTGCCTTTCAAGATTCAAAGAAGACAATTTCCTCTTATTGTCTCATATGCAATGACAATAAACAAGAGTCAGGGACAATCTTTATCTAATGTTGGATTGAGTTTACGCAAACCTATTTTTAGTCATAGCCAATTGTATGTGGCTCTTTCCCGTGTTACTAATCCCCATGGTTTGAAGGTTCTTATATGTGACAAAGAAGGTCAAAGTACCAATGTAACAACAAATGTTGTTTTTAAAGAAGTGTTTCGAAATTTGTAAACATTAATAACTTTCATTTGGTAATTCACTATCAATTTAGTAATGTTTTTCTTTCTTCCTTATAATATGATAGATTTTAACTTTCATTTGATAATTAGTATTATTGAATTACAAGAAATGTACTACCACTACTACATACCAAATTATTTAGTACGTAATATATTAGATTTGCGATTCATATTATTAAAAAATCTATTCTTTAACATTGTATAATTTTCCCGTGCATAATAATACTAGTTAAAGTCTAATAAAAACATCCTAATTTTGCTGCACTGAAAATTCTCCCGCCCAGTTCTGAATTCTGAGCTCCACCGGAAGACATGGAGACCGGGAATAAACCGACGAATGGGAGTAACAACGAGTCGTTGAAAATGGCTGTAGCTATGGCGCTTATTCGATTAAAGCTTTCGCACACTAACCACTCTCAGCCGCCCCAGTCGTCTTCATCTTCTGCCCCTCTATCAGACGTTCTGAAATGGAAGAGAAAGGTCTGTCTTACCTCCCACTCATAATCTCTGTGGAATTGTGTAAACGAATCCTAAATTCCTCCGGAAACGCTTCAGGCCAAGGAACGCAAGCTAGAAATTGTTAGACTCAGAGAAGAACTCAGAGTCTCAGAAGGCTTGTCTCTCACTCTCTCTCGCCATCTCTGGTTTCTCGATCACTCTTGAACATTATGCCAGTTAAATTCATTATAAACTTGATTGCATAATTATATAATAATATACGGGCTCCAGATTTCGTATCTTCCATTAATTTAAAAGAAGCATTTGATCTAGGGTTCGTTTTCCACTTGGATCAGTGAAGTAATCCACCTTTTTTGGGGTTCCCGAATACCCTATTGCATAGCATAACCATATTTTTATTGGGGGGGGGGGTCATAGACGGTATGCAGCAGGATATATTTCCGCATGGTGCATTGTGCAAGTGCTACTTCTTTGATAATTTGGGCCAATTGAATCCTATTAGAACTGGAGATGACAATGATCAGAGATTCAGTGACGTCTTGCACCGTAGCTTTCTCAGACAAGGCATTGTTTTCAAATAGATTTTCCCTTCCCCTCTCACAATTGTAGTTTTTCTGGAATTTTTGTTTGCTGAAAGTTTGAGTGGTTTTGTCTGTATAGTTAGAATAAATGAGAGAAAGAGAAGGTTGCCTGAAGCTTCAAAAGGAAGAGAATATGTGTCAGGTGAAAATGTTTGTACTCACATTAGGGGATGTATATTTATGTTGATGGTGATGCTAGTCTTGATTGTAGAATAATGGATTTTTGCTAAAACAGTCCTTCTGCCTTATGTGATCTAAAAATACTGTTCTTAGGGTAAATTGCTGGAGTATTTGAAAGTAGCTGCTCAAAAAGTTATAGGGCTAAATCAGAGAAAAATTTCAATACTCAATTACTCATGATGACTGAATATACTGTTCCCAAGTTAATATCTACACATCGGTTTATTTTTTGCTATTGCAGAATATAGTAATGATGGTGAAATTGAGAAACTACGGGCTTCGGTTGATTTTCTAGTGGAGACATGCCATGCTCTTTCTCAAGCCAGAGTTTGTTGCTCATCTCAATTTACATGATCTTTTGTGATATCTAAATTTTTAACAATGCATTCTGTTTTTATGTTTTAGTTCTTTCATCATTGTTTTTTGCAGCTGGATGAGTGTAAATTCAAAAACTGGTCTCACCAAGCTGTAGACTTTATTCTTGGTATTACACATTCATTTGATATATATGCACCAATAATTATATTAGGAGACTCACTACAACAATACTTAAACTGACTTTTTCGTTGTGCAGTGTCAAGTGATAACTATTTATACTGTTGAAGTAATATTTAATGCTTCTCTCAGTGGTTGAGATCTTCATGGAATGACATGTTACTGCTAAGGGGCAAATGGAGAAGAACAAAATATTTTACTATAAGATTTTGGGTATTATGTAACTCATTAAGGGATTGCTTCCACTTTCTAATTGTACTTTTTTTCTCATGGCTATCTTTACTCATTAAGGGATTGCTTCCACTTTCTAATTGTACTTTTTCCCCTCATGGGTAGCTTTACTAAGTATGTGTTTTCATTTATTTGGTTGAAGATGCGGTGAAGACCACATCGGCAATGGGAGTCAATTTTCCTGTTGAAGATGTTGTAAGTAGCTTAATTACGCGCCTAATGAAAATCATGTGCAGTGCAACAAAAGGAGATGGTAAACATTTGGTTGTGCTTTTTGTATATGTTTACACATGCCAGACATTGTTTTTTATTATATTATCTCAACTGCTGTGTTAAATGTGACGAGTTTACGCATGTGATCATGTATTCTTGTTGTTTTGGTGCTTTTTTAAAATGAAGCTGATAAGAAATGAGGGATATCTTTGCACTGTAAAATCAAGTTAATGACGATAAGTTTGTTCAAGTTCTAGTTAATTAAGCATATGAGTTAGAAACATAATGGGTTTCGCTTAGTAGGAAGTTTATCTTGGATAAGTAATATTTGATACGAACCTTATCTCATATCATAACTTCTAAGAGCTCATGTGGTGAGGACTGAGAATAAAATTTGTTAAAACAACTAAATAAAATGACATGTTTAGTGTGTGGCTAGAGACAGAATAAGCAGAAGCATCTTACAAGATATTTAACAGAGCATTTTTAAATAAACTAAAGGATATATTAACTGTAAGATGAGGATGAATGTGTCGTTTTTCTTCATTTTAACTTGAAAAATCAAGTTTTGGGTTAATCTTTCTATCATAGTCAATTCTACCAAACCATAACATAAGTTAGTATTTGGTAGAATATTTGGAAAATGACACTCATAACCTATACTTTGAAGGTACAGAACATTCACTAAGGCACCTTGTGTTTAACGGTAAAAATATCTTTGGAAAGTTCTACAGTCTGTACCTTTGAACTTCTTCCTCTTTCAATTCTTTGCCTACCTCATATGAGAAGGAAGGCATGAAAGGTTCTAACAAGCAAGCAAGGAGATACACTATACCAGCGGCAGTTCTCCTAACTATGGAACCGGAAAACCTGTCAACCATGTAAAACTTCCAAAATAGGTTTTCTTGCAGGTAAGCATTTCCTTCACCAGAAAGAGACATGGCCCTTTTCAAACCTTGCTTCAATTTTACCTTTTCATTGGCTTCAATATATTGTTCCACATAATTTTCCGCTGTTTTCTCAGTGATAAAATCTGTAATTCTGAGCTCTCCTGTCAAAGGACCAACCCACAAGTTGGTAGGTGAATCAAGGGTAGTAGGACCTTTTCCATCCAGATGCACGCGAGCAAAAGAAACAGATGAACCACACTTCTCTTTGCATACAACAGTCCCAATTATATTCTCTTGCACCTGATTCATTACATTCCTTAAAATTGACTTTCTTGAA